GACAGCCTTGCTGGATAGAGTATTCTCGCGTCAGTCCTTTGCTTTGCATCACTTTGTAATTTTCCTTCCATGCTTTTCTGGCCTGATGTGTTTCTGTTGAGAAATCATTTAATAATCTAATGGGAGATCCCTTATGTGTAACTTTCTGTCTCTCTTGCAGCCTTTAAGATTCTCTCTTTGTCCTGAACATTTGCCATGGTAATTATGATGTGTCTTGGTGTGGGTCTTTTCGAGATGTACAAAATCAATAAAATATACTTTAAAAAAATAAATAAATAAAATAAAATGAAGTGGGGCACTTGGGGCAGGATCACCCACGGGGACACCTGCTGGGAGCCAAACAGGTAACTCAGGTAGGAAACCATCTTTTATCACTCTCCTGTTCTTTGATCTCATTCACCTTATTTGGGACTCTCTATGCTTGTGTGACTTTTTTTCTTCCCCACCTCAGGGTAGTTTTCTGACATTATTTCTTTAAATAGGTTTTCTAACCATTGTTCCTCTTCCTATTATTCTGGCACTCCTATTATTCGTATGTTGTTTCATTTCATGTTGTCTCATAGCTCCCTTAAGCTCTCCTCCTGTCTTTTAATTTTTTCTTCAATTGCAATTCAGTTTGGGTGTGTTTTGCTTCCCTGTCTTCTAATTCGGTAATTCGGTCCTCCGCTTCTCCCAGTCTACTGTTGAAACTTGCCATGGTGTTTTTTATTGCAGCTATATCACTCTTCATTTCTTCTTGATTCTTACATAAGTTGTTGAGTTTTTTCTCCATCAGGTTTATGAAGTATATTAGAGGCCCAGTACACAAAAAATTGTGCACTCATGGGGGAGAGAAGAGGGGTCCCTCAGCCCGGCCTGTGCACTCTTGCAGTCTGGGACCCCTTGGGAGAAAATGACCTGCTGGCAGAGGGCAGGCCCAATCCCTAGGTGCATCCCCTGTTCGGGCTCAGAGCAGGCCTACTGGGGGATTGGGGCACCGCCCCCTGTCACACTCAAGGCAGGGTCAATGGGGAGGTTGTGGCGCCACCCCCTGTCACGCAAATAGCAGGGCGGATCAGGGTTTGGGGTTCTGTCCCCTGTCATGCACAGAGCAAAGCTCATCAGGGGGGTTGGGGCTCTGTACCCTGTCACGCACAGAGCAGGGCCCATCAGGGGGTTGGGGAGCTCCTCCCTGTCACACACAGAGCAGGGCAGAGCAGGGTGTTGGGGCATCACCCTCTATCTCCCACAGAGCAGGGCCGATCAGGGGGTTGGGGCGCCGCCACTCTCACACTCAGGGCAGGGCCGATGGGGAGGTTATGGCTCTACCCTGTCACACACAGAGCAGGGCCCGTTGGGGGTGGGGGGGGATTGGGGTGCCGCACCCTGTCACACACAGAGCCACAGGGTGATCAGGGGGTTTGGGCGCTGCCCCCTGTCATGCGGGGATTTGGGCATTGCCCCCTGTCACACTGATCCCGGTGCTGGGAGGCATATTACCCTTTTACTATAAAGGATTGAGGCCTGGTGCATGGGTGGGGGCCAGCTGGTTTGCCCTGGAGGGTGTCCTGGATCAGAGTGGGGGTCCCCACTGGGGTGCCTGGCCAGTCTAAGTGAGGGGCTGAGGGCTGTTTTCAGGCTGATGTGTATCTGACGATCCCAACTGCTCCTTTTTTTCTTTCTTTTTCTTTTTTTTTTTAAAATTCTGGGCCAGCTTTAGCTCTAGCTCCAGCTCTGAGGCCTCTGTTGCTGAAATCAGGTATCTGGTTTGTTTGGGTTCTATAGTCGAATCACTGTATCCACTCAAGCTCTGTGGTTCTGGCGGGCTAAAAGCAGGTTTCTGGGGTTTTGTTTGGCTTCTATATTTGTAACTATGTTTCAAACTGGAAGCTCAGAGGCCAGGAAGGCAGGCTGGGAACATTGCTTTCCTCTGTCACTGAAGCAATCAAGCCTCATGTTAGCTTCAAGTTGCCGGCCGCCATCTAGGCTGGCAGTTAGTTTGCATATCTCGCTGATTAGGCAATGGGAAGGGTAGCGGACGTATGCTAATTACCATGTTTCCCTTTTATTAGATAGGGTGACCCTTATTCTGAATTCTTTTTCTGACATATTGCATGCCTCTGTTTCACTTAGCTGCTTTTCTGTTGATTTTTCCTTTTCTTTCCTTTGGGGATTTGTATACCCGTTTTGGGTCTCACCAACTGATCTAGATGTCTAATCATGCAGGGGCTGCTCCTCATTTGGCAGTAGATCCTCTGGTGGATGCTGTTCGCACAAGTGGTGTCATCTCTGGCTGGTTGGGGAGGCTTCTCTCACAGTTGCTGTTCCTTGGACAGAGGTGGGCTTATCACGAGTTGCTTCTCCTCAGATGCGGGCGGGCTGAGCACAGCTGCTGCTCCTTGGATCAAGGCTGGCTGCATGCTGTTGCTGTTCCTCAGATGGGGCGGGCTGCTCGTGAGGCTGCCACTTCTTGGACAGGGGCAGGTTGCTTATAGGGCTACTGCTCCTCGTACGGGTGCAGGCTACTAGAAAAGCTGCTGCTCCTTGGATGGGCAACAGGCTGCTTGTGTGGCTGCTGCTTCTCAGGAGGGAGTGAGCTGCACATGTGGCTACAGCTCCTCGGACGGGCGTGGACTGCTCACCCAGCTGCTGCTCATCAGACAGGTGCAGGCTGCGTCTGGCTGCTGTTCCATGGACCAGAGCGGGCTGCGCAGGGCTGCCGCTCCTCGGATGTGGTTGGTCTGCTCATGCAGGTGTTGCTCCTCAGACAGGAGCAAGCTGCTTGAGCGGCTGCTGCTCCTTGGGTGGGAGTGAACTGCACGTGTGGCTGCTGCTCCTCATACGGGGGCAGTCTGCTCTCATGGCTGCTGCTCCTTGGATGGGCGACAGGCTGCTTGCATGGCTGCTGCTCCTCGGACAGAAGCGAGCTTCACGTGCCGCTTCTGCTCCTCGAATGGGGGCAGACCGCTCACCCAGCTACTGCTTGTTGGACAGGTGCAGGCTGCATGTGGCTGCTGCTCCTTGGACCAGTGCGGACTGCACAGGGCTGCCAAATTTCGTGCACCGGGCCTCTATTCCTATATAATAAAAGCCTAATATGCTAAGTGTCCAGTCGTCCATTCAACCAAAGTGTAATATGCTAATGATATGTTAAGGCCATTCAAACGCTTGCTATGACGTGTACTGACCACCAACAGGCAGACAGTCGACTGGTCGACCAGTCGCTATGACATGCACTGACCACCAGGGGGCAGATGCTCTGACCAGTAGCTTAGCTTGCTGATGGGGTCTGGCCAATTGGGACTGAGCAAGATGGGCTGGACATTCCCTGGAGCCCTCCCATGATCCCTTCCTGTCTAGCCAACCTCCTGTGTCCCTACCAAGCCCTGATTGTACACCAGTGGGGTCCCTTTACCTAGCCCTCTCGTAATTCGGGACCCCTCGGGGGATGTCGGAGAGCTGGTTTCGGCCTGATCCTGCAGGCCAGGCCTACTGGTGCATGAATTCATGCACTGGGCCTCTAGTTAATAAATAATAACACAAGAATAAACTCTGTTTTATGCACTCACAACTGTAAATCTACTTTTGCCCCTACCCTGTACCAGTATAAGTGAGTCAAAACTGATCCTGCATGAAATTCAGTTAATATTCTAAATCTTATTTACTAACCAAAGTCAAAAATTAATTCAATATTCTTCTTTTTTTTTAGAGTTCTGACATATTTTATACCTGAAGATATTCTTCAATAATAGAATATAACTATATTGTTACCCAGGATTTCAGCATGATATTCTGGTGAATATCCAAATGTTAGTTACTGTTCAGGTAATACAAACCTTCACTTTGACAAGCAATTGTTAATGTACTTTAATCAAAGTTTAAAATATTTGGTATTTTTTGAAATAAGTTTTATGCAACCGCATATGATAAGTGTATGCTTTTTCATCTGACAAATGACACATAGGTTATTGGTATTACCAATAAAGTGCCAACAACTATTTCTCTGTCTCATGGTTTTCAGCTGGCCAGGTCAGAGATCACCAGACCTAGTATATCAACTTGCATGACTGAGAGAGGTGGTTTACTGAGATAAAAACCTCATCAAAACTGAAATATTGGGCTACAACTTCAAGCCATACAGCAATTGGTCACATATGGCATCAGAGGAATACATTGCTGAAGTTATGTATTATTTTCAAGGCCACTGACAGTCTAACATAAGGCAAACACCTGGTCCCCTAAATATTTCTGAAGTCATTTTTGTTTCGTTAATTGCATTAACGGAAATAAATGTTATATTTAAAACACTAAAATAAAAATACTTGTTGAATTGAGGCAATATAAATATTGGTGAATAATTATTGACATGTTATAAATATAGAAATAATATTTTAAATTAAAAATTTTTTCTATGGAATATATATTACTTCAATATCCTTTAGTGTTTACATAACAAATATAAATGATAGTTAATTTATCTTTACTCAAAGTACTTATGAGGATTTTTAAACTATTATATTTCCATACATACATATAGATCTACATGTATATCACACAACACCAATGCTTCAATTGTCAATAAAATATCAATTATAAAAATAAAATATGAACTAAAATGCTCTGTGAACACTCTAAAGATGGACACATAATAATAAATAATTGAATGTTTGGTAAAACTCAGTTTCTTTATATAACCTCTTATTATACTTGTATCTAATGGTAAGTAAACTTTGCTTGCTTAAAAACTATGGAAGCAATTGCATTAAAAATTTTTATTTACCTTTAAGGATAAGTTAGAATAACTTAAGTCTACTGAGTGGTTAGTAACAGGGCTGGAGGGATCTCTTCATGTTGTAAATGAGGTGAAATAAACTAGTGTTCTGAGTTTGACATTTACTAAAGAACTCAAAAGCCTTCAGTGAAATTTTCTCTTCAAAACACACTCCTTAATGTAAGGTTACCATTGGCAATCACTGACTGATAATAGAAAAGCAGAATTTAGTCTGCTCCAAAAACCTTACCTCAAACTCAGCATGTTTATGTACATCCTCAGCTCTCTGTCTGTTCAAAATAAACTCAGCTTCATTTGCAACACGAACTATGTGGTCCTTCATAGCATGGCAGAGTAATCTAAAAAGAAAAGTACCTTTGAAGTTATTATTCTTAATAGTTTTGGTTAATCCAACTTTTTCAATAATCAATCTTCAGTATTATAAGCATTAATTATGCATACATTTCAGATAAAGCTACATTATAAAATTAATATAGTTGAAATTATAATTCAATGACATTTGAAATATAAAAATATGCCATAAAACTGTTACAGCAATGTTTCTGTTAAATAGTGTGTCTGTGAACAAATTAACTGGTGAATTTAATAAAGTTACTTTATGCAATAAAATAAAGAGTAAAAGACATCCAAATATGAAAGGAGGAAGTAAAACTGTCATTATTCGCCAATGACATGATATTGTACATAGAAAACCCTAAAGACTCCACCAAAAAACTAATACTAGATTTAATAAATAAATTTGGCAATGTAGCAGGATAAAAAATTAACACCCAGAAATCAATGGCATTTTTATACACCAATAATAAACTCTCAGAAAAACAACAACAAACCAAAACAGTCCCATTGCAACAACAAAAAATTTAAGATACTTAGGAATAAACTTAATCTAGGAGGCAAAACACCTGCACTCAGAAAACTACAGAACATTGAAAAAGAGAGGAAGATATAAATAAGTGGAAGAATATACTGTGTTCTTGGTTTTTGATTTTTTTTTGTTTTTTTTTTAAGAGGGCAAACTTATAAAGTAATTTCATTTTCTTTACCTACATTTTTTAAAAATTAGTTCTCATACTCATATCCATTATCTAGTTTTGCTCCACATAAACTTTAAACAAGGATGCTATTTTCAAAATCACCATTCATTATTTTCACTGCTCATTATTGAAATGAATCATCCTTTTTTTCTTGCCCAAGATGTCATAAATTTCAATCAGAATAGGATAGCTTTAAGTTTGTCTTAACTTTTGTATTTACCAAATACCAACTCATATAATTCTGCATTTATTATTCACTACATTCTGTCTATCCATGGAAAACTTGTCTTCACTGATAAATATGTACAAGCAAAATATAATACTTATGTATCCTGATATTCCTAAACTATGACTTAAATATGATTTTTAATCCTCATTAAGGATATTTTTAGAGAGAAGAAGAGGGAGAGGGAGCAGGAGAGGGAGAGAGAGGGAGGAAGAGAAAGAGAGAGAGAGAGAGAGAGAGAGAGAGAGAGAGAGAGAGAGAGAGAGACACCGGTTGTGGGGATCCAACCTGAAACCGTAGGTATGTTCCCTGACTGGGAATTGAACTTGCAGCCTTCTTTTTGGTGCACAGCAAGATGCTCCAACCAACTGAGCCACCTGGCTGGGGCTAATTTTTCAAAGCTATGCATGTCTTTGAAGTGAGTCTGACTCTACTGAATTTATTTCTGCTTTTTCAGGTAGTAAGGTTGAATAACAACATAGTATTAAACTTTATTATCTTTTCACAAATTTAGTATCTATGTGACATCTTCTAATTTAAATTCTGAGCATCACTAAACTGAAGATAATTCTCATTAGAAATCTTCCCAAAACCCATGTCTGGTCTGATATAGAGTTCATTACTCCATGATGAGATTTGGGTGACTCTGTCACTCTGGACTAGCAGAACTTCCTGGCAGTATGACAGAGGCACCACTAAAATCTTGCATAGCAGCAGGATCATGGAGATAGCACTTAGAAACATGTAAAGGTAATCTCTCATATCACTTGAAAGGGACCGACGCACATTCTAATAGAAATATTGTCTAGTTTACAGTAAAGTTAACAAAAACATAAGTTATTCAAAGAACCCAAGGCTAGGGCAATCTGTTCAAAACAACAATACTTGAGGGGGTGGGGGGGAAAATGCCCACTCTTCTACAAATAATGTTCTGGGGAAACAATCATATTGATAGTTTTAAACTTTTTAAAATATATTTTATTGATTTTTTACAGAGAGGAAGGGAGAGAGATAGAGAGTTAGAAACATCGATGAGAAAGAAACATCGATCAGCTGCCTCCTGCACATCTCCTACTGGGGATGTGCCCGCCACCCAGGTACATGCCCTTGACCGGAATCGAACCTGGGACGTTTCAGTACGCAGGCCGACGCTCTATCCACTGAGCCAAACCAGTTTCGGCAATAGTCTTAATATTAATCACTGAGGGAGCTGGAAAAATAAGAAGTTAAACAAAGACTGTAAGAAACTCTAAAAATTAATTTTGATGAAATCATCGGCCTATATTTTATATAACTAAGGTTTCAAAAGAGAAAGATGTGAGATGTTGGTATTCAGTTCAAAGTCTTTGCTTAGTGTCTGAAGGCTGAAGAAAGCCAGGGAAAAAATCAAATATATGCAAATTAGTGTAAATTACAAAAATTAAATAGATTAACAGAAGAAAGCAGGAAGGTAGAGAGGCTCAGGATTTGGCTGGTTAGTAGTATTATACCCAGGCGCAAAACAGTGGATTGACAAAGCAAAGAGACATGGGTAGCAGAGAAGGGGATGGGGAAGGGAAGAGTCTTTCCTCAGAAACACCAGAGAAATTGCAAAAATTACTTGAAAGTCTGTTTTCCTATCTGTGATACTTATGCATTATATATCAACTAATGTTGTTTTATTTAACTAATGTTGTATGTTGTTTTATTTTCATGCAAAGACAGCACCTTTTAACTGATTCACAGTCATTCTGGGCAACCTCAATATCCATGTGGAAAACCATTCACCAATACAAAAATATCTTCCAGACTTTCCTAAGGGGCTTTGTGTTTGTATTTGGACAGCCCTTTAACACTCAGCTAGGCAGGTTTCCACTCTACCTTAGCATCCACTCTCTGCTTACATAGTCTCCATGTCAGCAGAAGGTAAGGGTTTAGAATCCTTCTTTAGGTGCATCTTTCCAGAGCATGCATACAGTCCTAAGCTTGAGTGTGGCCTTTAGATTTCCAAAATATGCCGTAAGTTTTTAAAGCCCTCATGTACATCTCATTCCCAGCTGTTCCTCCTAAGCTTTTTGGTTAGTCTATTATTTGCCCCAACTGTTATGTATCACCTCAGGCAGTGGCGACCTAAGACATTAGTCTATAAATGTTTTCCACAAATGCCCTCAAGGAACCAGCTTTATTCATATTAGACAGGCCAGAACAAATAATTGAGTAAAATTATTTGCTAATAAGATCCATTTTGCTCCCTCTGGTACAGTACTTGTAATGTGAATTTGAAAAAAAAAAAAAAAAAGCCCCCATGGAACTGGGGAGCAATGAATAAATGGGACTGGGATAAGTTAAAATCTCAGAATTACTCCATCACCCTCATACTTTCTAAAAATATTTTTGTTGCATATACAATTACCAACTATTATTATTTTTCTCAACTCTTTAAAAGTATGCCACATTCTTCTAACTTTCATTATTGTTTTGCTAATTTTTCTCTTTTTGTTCATATCTGTTATTTTGTGTGGGTGCTTTTATCTCTTTGGTGTTTTACAATGTTAGTACCATGACTCTAGGATGGGTTTCTTTGATTTATCCGACTTTACATGTGATTCCTATACCTCTATAGTCATAGTTTCAATCACTTCTAAAATATTCACGACAATCATCTTTTAAAATTTTTCAACTACTCTGTAATCTCTGAATTTTCAATTTGATGACTTGTAACTTAAACTTTCTAAATCGACTTTCATATCTGTTAATACACTTTTCATTTGTCACCTCTTTTATTCTCTGTATTCTGGATAAATGCTTTAATATATATGTTCCAGGTCAATAATTTCCTCCAACTTTATCTAATCTGACAAATCATCAATACATAGATTTTTTAAAAATATATATTTTATTTATTTTTTACAGAGAAGAAGGGAGAGGGATAGAGAGCCAGAAATATCGATGAGAGAGATTGATCAGCTGCCTCCTGCACGGCCCCCAGTGGGGATGTGCCCGCAACCAAGGCACATGCCCCTGACCTGAATCGAACCTGTGACCTCTGAGTCCACAGGCCGACGCTCTATCCACTG